AAAAAAAAATTACATATTGTAGCCAATATTTTTGCCTGTGGTCGTAGGAGTAGTTGTGTAACAAAACTGAACAAATGTAATATTTATCAACTTTGATAAAAGTGTCTTTAAAATATTATTTCTTAAGCTATATAACCGAGCTATCAATGGGCAGCCATAGAAGTTCCGACTTCTACTTGACCTTTGACGTACGTCAAAGAGAACATAGTCGTTTAAATAATAGTTTTTTTCTGTGCTTTAAATACCTGCTTTGGCTTCTTTCTTTATTATGATTTTTTTTGTACCAATCTTAAAAAAAACTACTAGACACAAAAGAAGAAACTGTAATTCTTAAAAAAAAATTCGTGATTTTCTTTTATGTTATAAGCCGCATACACGGTGCGCCTGACTCGTGAGTCGGTTTGGATGTGTTTGTGAAAATAAATATGTGTTAGACTCTGAATGATTCAACTGTGTGTAGTCGAAGGCGAGTCAACACGTACACAAATGACTCGCGAGTCAGACGTACCTATTACATATATTCGTTTGAATAATTTCAAATGGGGCTCTTTGGGGAATTTATTTTTAGCAGAAATTTTAAAAACAGTAGTTTTGTTTGCTTGTTGGATAATATTTTTTTCATAGGGATATACATTGGATCCTTGGCTAAAAACTTCTGTGGTAAAACTGCCCCTTCTTTGCTATTTAGAGTAAATGAGTAAGCTCCTCCAATAGGGATTTCCAGTAGAAAAGATCAAGATAAAGATAAAGATAATCGATGCTTAAATAAGTAAAAGGCTATAGATCTGACCTTTAATTAGATAAGAATTACGTAACTGTCTGTTATTCAAATCCTTATAAAAAACGGGGTGCTTTAAAAAAAAAAAAACAATATTCTGATCCGGTTCGGCTGGCAGCCACGACTTTGAAAACAGAATTTTGTTCAAAAATAATAATATATTTTCCATATCCACCTATTTAGCTCGCTATAAGCACAAATTTTTCAAAGCAGTCGCAGAAGAAAGTATTAAAAATGAATTACAAAAACTAAAATCGAAGAGTGCTGATAAAGTTACAGGTTCTCCAAATTCTGAAACAACATGACATATGTATCTGGTTTGGCTTGTAAGCGCTGTTTAACCATTGATCTAGCCATTATGCTTGGCATCCGCACTCGCATCCGCATCCGCGGATGTTAGCTGTTCGATATTCGCATCCGCATTCGCATCCGCGGATGTCTAAAATTCCACATCCGCAACATCCCTAGTACATACGGACTGGTGTGCGGAACACCAACTAGTACTATGATGGCCAGTGAAACGGAGAAATGATTTATGAATTTAATTTTAGCACTCAGTCAACGGCTTGTTAAATTATTCGCCAAGATCAAATAAGGTGCTGAAATATGTAAATATGTATGTATGTGTATTGACCGTGTTATAACATTCATATTTTGGCTGTTGGAGAAAAATATACAGTACGCCCTCGGTAAAACCAACTAGGTAAAAATTCGGACAGTGGCGTTGATTGAGGTTGTTGCAATAACCGAATCGCACAAAAGTTCAGCTTGTAATGAGAATTTAACCTGAAAACAGAAGTATCATAAGGTAAATAATATTGTTCGCGTAAAGACATACCAAAAGTATTAATTTAATTCACTTGAAAATCATTTTTATGGATAAATTAACAACGAATTCAGCCAGAAATTTAAATTAGTCAATTAACACTTTAATTGGGCTACACAGTTAGCTGCTCGATTAGCTACAGTGATGGAAAAGTTGGTACGATTGTACCTTCATCTAGTTTGAAAGTACATTCGGTACGAACACACTATTTAGGTACATTTGGAACGAAGTCAAATAGCTTTGCAGGAAATAACTTCTTATTTTTATTCACATTTCAACTAAATTTCTGGTGGAAATAACTTGTCCAATAGCCTACCTGCTTTGTGAATGATTACGCCAGAAAGTAAGATAATATTTCTTTTTAAAATCTCAAATCGAAGAACCGGAAGGAAAGAGATTTACCCTTTCGAAAGCATATTTTGTCCCAAACTGCTCGAAGAGATTCTTTTTATAGCCAAATTTGTTTAATGTGAATCTAGAAGTTGATATGGTATCGAAGGAACTTTTTAAGTACATTTATCTAGGTAAAGTTTTTTCCGTAGATCGGGTTCAATTTCCATACCTGATGGACAATCGGCTGTAAAAAAGGTCCAGAAATGAACAGCTGATTGCTATTAGTTCAATAAACCTACATCAAAGTTAAAATTCAACATATCCAGTGCTTCCCCAATCGAGAGTAACCCAGAGTTACCTGTTCGTTTACAGAATACATTATTTTCAACATCTGCATACCATTGGAGGTAATCGAATAAATGTAAAATTACTTGTAATGAAATGGTAAGCGAAAATTGTATTGCGTTAATCCATTTATACAAAAATTAGTGCTTCCAAAAAACTAAAAAGTTTTTGTTGGGTAAATTTGAATTTTCAAGTCACTAGCTCATCATGAAGTCAGTTAAAAATGTATTGTAAAATTAGATTACACATAGGTGGCTTAGCATGCGTGATATCCGTGAAGTAATCGAAATGAATATTATTTTCAAAAGTTTTTCTAAGGCCCAGCATTTGTGTGGCATAAAAGTGTACCATTTTAAAACTCTTCGACATGTTACTATCGAACAAACCAAAAACATTTCAAACCCTCTTCCAAAGGGTCAAATATTCTGGTATTCACGTCATTCATGACGCCGTTAGGGCTCTGTTTGTTGCATGCTACAAACAAAATATTGCGGCAAAATAACAGAAATAGTCCGTCATACACACAGGTATCTACATACCATTCATATGCTACTACGATAGCCATGGGGCCAACACATTGCAGCACAACTATTAAAGTCGTAAAACCTTAAATAAGTAGGTACATTAGTGCGCGCCTTATTTGTATGGAGCCATTTTT